GTGGGTGGATGGATGGATGGATGGATGGGTGGATGGATGGGAGGGAGGAAGGAAGGGAAATGGGGAAAGGGAGGGAGGGAGGGAGGGAGGGCCCACCCTGCCCTACAGAGGATGAGCTGAGGCCGAACGGATGGACAACCTGCCGACAGCCACACGGCAGGGAAGTAGCAAAGCTCTGACTCAAACCCACTCAGGCCTCTGAGGCCCACTCAGACCCTTCGCATGGCTCCCAGGAAGGAGAATGGCAGGTGATAGAGTTCCCTGCAGGGTCAGTGTCCACAAAGGGGCACACACACCCACACATCCGTATACACACACAACACACAGGCCTGCCACACGCAAGCATAGCACACACATCCATATACACACAGGTACCACACACATCCATACCACACACATAACACACAGGTCTGCCACACGCAATACACATGCATGCATACCACACACATCCATACCACACACATAACACACAGGTCTGCCACACGCAATACACATGCATGCATACCACACACATCCATACCACACACACAATACACAGGCATGCCACATGCAATACACACATGCATAGCACACACGTGCATAGCACGCACACACACCACTCATATACATATCATTCACACATACATACCACACACATACACACTCACATTATGTTGGTCTCTCTTCTTCCCAACCCTCCATCTTCAACCAACCTACCCCAATGGACCATATACTTTATTAAAAATATATAGTTACAAACTCCATTGTCGATTTGGGCTGGGTCCGGGGGCCCGGAGAAACCACAGGGAGGGATGGCCTGTGTCCTTCCCCTTGGGCTCCCACCTCTATACTCAAACCAGCACCATCCTGGGGCCGAGAAGGCTGGCTCTGAGGGCTTCAAGGGGGCAGTCAGCTGGGCAGGGACGGGCTAGGCCACACGGGCGGAGGGAGGGTGCACAGAGAGATGGCACCTCCGTGTCCTGCAGGTACAAATGGCAGAAGGTGGGTTTGGTGCCTCCATCTCTCTCCATTTATAGGTATTTACAAAAGAAAGTCATGAGCAACAGGTCACAGTCATGCAAAAGAAACGCACCCGTCCCTCCCTCCCCCAAAACTACCCCCTGCCCACCCCAGACCCCAGGATGCCCACCCTCCAGAAGTCCAGCCTCGGTCCCCAAGGTTCTGAGAACAAAGCGGGCACGTCCTGGAAGGGCCGGTGGGGAAAGGATGGTGAGTCCGGGGCCCCAGAACCGCCAGCTGGCAGGCGTTGGGGAACACGAGCGCCAGGGCACAGGGTTCCTGGGGCCCTGCCCAGGCCCGGGTTCCAGAGTCAGTAGGAAGGGGTCCCCCGGCTGTGAAGGTCCACGGAGCCAGGGCCAGCTCTGTCCTGAGTGCGGAGGGGGTCCTGGGACCTCACCCCCAGCAGAGGCTCTTGTGGAGGCAGCGCGGGCGGCCGGAGGTCAGATGGCGGAGGTCAGATGGCAGACTCCCTGCGGTAGGAGATGCTGTCCAGCGGGAGCGTGGCCTGCATGCGCTCCAGGTCCAGGTGGCTGCCGAACTCCAGCATCCGGATGATGCCCGCCTCC